TCAGGGTTCTGTGCTGGGACCTTTAATTTTTATATTGTACATACTTCTCTTAAGTGGTAGTATTACAAAACACAACATCCATTTTCATGGCTAATCAGATGGATCCCAGCTTTATTTATCCATGCAGTCACTCAAATCAGTTGGTTAAACTAAAGGCATTTCTTAAAGGCCTGGGTGAGCTCTAATTTCCTGCATTGTTGAAGTTGACCCCAGCTGCCATAGAGTAAGAGGCAGGATACACTGCCTGTAGGGCTGTCACAGAGAGACAGACAGCCATTCACACCTGTAGGTAATTTAGAACCACCAGTTAACCTAATCCCACAAACTGCATGTCTTTGAACTGGGTGAGGAAGCCAGAGTACAGACAGAGACAACTTGACAAAGGAAGGCCCCGGCCAGATGGTGGATTTGAACCCAGTACCTTCTTACTGCGAGGCAACAGCGCTAACCACCTTTACAGTTCAGACAAGAGTGAGGTCATTATATTTGGCCCTAAAACCTTAGAAATGTGGTGTATGTAATAAGATGCTTACTATGGATAGCATTACCTTTGCCTCCAGTAATCAGGAGATGTCATTCAATACATATATAACAAGTATGTAAGACTGCTTTCTTTCATCTGCACTGTTTTGCCCAGTTTCACTGGCTCCCTGTTAAATCCAGGATTGAATTTAAAATCCTTCTTATCACATACAAAGTCTTAAATAATCAAACCCTGTTGAATCTTAAAGATCTCTTAGTATGATGAGATCTTCCAGGAGAGCACTCTCAGCTTTTAGGTCACCAGTTCATCAAAGGTTTAACACAGAAAAATGAATCATTCACACCTACAGCTGATTAAGATTCACCAGTTAACCTAACATACGTGTGAGGAAACTAAAGGGAATCACGCAGAAACAGGAAGAACATCAAAGCACATAGAAACGACCCGGTCGACCAGTGGAATCAAACCTGGGACCTTCTTGCTGCGAGGTGGCAGTGCTAACCGCTGCATCCTTTGCCTGTCATTAGGGGGAATGCAGATCCAAAGGCACTTAGGCATTTGCTTCACTTATCAGACCCGGAGGCTACATCACTTCTTTTTATATGCAGTCTGGTCCAATCACTGGACCGCAGCGTGCTTTTACTGTGTCTTTATTGAAGACAGAATTTCTCCTCTTTATAAAAGTCCAGTTGATATTTCAAATCATCTGGTGAATTATTACAGGTGAGGCCAATTATAGCTCATCTACCCACTGTTGGAAAAATGTCACTCAATATAACTACATCTTAGGTAAAGGTCAGCTGTCAGTAACTCCAAACCAGAGGTCTCAAACAAAAGGCCCAGGGACCAGAATCAGCCCGTATAAGAGTCCAATCCGGCCCTCTGCACGTGCGCACATCTTTGGAAAATGCGAACAAGGGCATAAATTTTAGTGTTTTAACTGTAATTTGATCAATTACAGTATTTCTTACAGTGCTGATAGATTTTTTCCCATTCTGGTAATAGAGCAGCATTTTTGCTGTTGAAATTGCACTTCTTTTCTTTTCTTACAATATCTCAGTGTAATTTAATTTCGTTAAACTTCTTTACATCACCACTCTTAAAAAAAAATCATGCAGCTCGTTTTTTGTTAATTCGCTCCAAAGAGTTTGGAAATAACAAAAATATCCGCAAAGCTGCACCAGGAAAATAACAAAAACACCGGTTGTGATTGGAATCGAATCAAAGCTGCATTCACTGAATGCTGAATCTCCCACAAAGTCCATAAAAGAATTCCTCATTTTAATAAGCTTTAAGTCATTAATGACATGTGCCTCAAACGCACGTTTCAGCCTGAACACCATCTGCTTGTGAGTCCAAACATGTTTGCACGTCTCAATCTCTCATAAATATTAGAGAAGATAAGAGCCATTTCATATAATGTGGGTTTTTCTTCTTAGAAGCTTAAAGCGCGTCACTCTTAAAAAATTTCGGCCAATTAGAAGTGATTTCTTACTGTGAGATGCTTGATAAATAAAGGCCCTGCTCTGATAAGAGGAGCGCCACATCAACTCGTCAGAGCTTTTTGGTCTCTGTTGGTGTCCTGTGATTCCAGCCTCAGTTTAAAAAAGCCTCATTTATAGATCAGAAAAGAAAGACGCAGTGAGAGGAGAGGGAGAAGAACTCACAAAGGGCCTTATTCAACCAAACATGAAACATGAGCTTAAATCTGAGTACATGTTCGTGGCAACAAATCCACACACACACACACACACACACAAATACGGCACTGCTGTCAGGTCACAGATATGCATGAGAATATCAGTGTCTGATATGGGTGCTTTTAATAATTCAGAACAAAGCTGGGGTCGTATCTTAGATGTGTTATGAGGCTATTGTCCTCAGGGAGATGCAGAAGGACAGATGCAGCTTTGGAGCAGTGAGAAGGCTTTCAGCATTGTGGGGGGGTGGGGGGGGGAATCAATGCTCTGAGTAGTGACTAATGAACCCCTCCTCAGTGGTCTAAAACCGGGGTGGTTATTATATCGCAGAGGGCAACGCAGCATTGAGGGACTATTATTACTGTACAAATGGAGTGTGTTCACATTCAGCTGAGGCAGAGGTCAGGGCCTGTGTACTTGTCCGTGCACACTCTGTCACAGATGATGAAATTAATAAAAAAAATGTGCAGGGTTGCACTCGGCTGTTGACAACGTGTGCACAAAAGCAAGCACAAACAAATCATCAGTGTTGTTGCAGCGTCTGTTCGGGAAAAATGAATCCTCAGACACTGGGACATATAATATCCTTTATTACGTCCTTCCTGTCTGGAAGATGAAAAGTAAACCTTTTTGTCTTCCAGAGGAATTAAAGCATCGAGGTGCTGCTAATCAAAATGACTTGACTAACTGTGAGCACCTCTGTAAAAGAGGTTTTGGAAGTTTGCGGGTCTAAAGTATTCAGGTGTGTGTTAACACAACACCACAGGATTCCCAGTGGAGGTTCCAGCAAATTCACCCCAAGGTCAGACCATACAATGCTGAGAGACAACAAAAGCTACAGGCCTCAGTGAACATGTTAGATGCTAAGGTCATGACAGTACAATTCAAAAAAGTATGGCTAGTTTGGAAGGGTTCTCTCTAAAATGACGTCATTTGGACAGACAAGACTTAAATGGAGCCGTTTGGCACCAAAGCACAGCATTGTCAGTAGTAAAAGCCAAAGAACATATCAGCACAAAGACCTCATATAAGCTGTGAAGCACTGAGGTGGAGAGCTGATGATCTGGGCTCCTTTACAGCCACTGAACCGACCATGAACTCCTCTGTATCCCACAGCGATCCACAGTCAAAGTTGAGGCAATCTTTCCCGACAGCTAAAGTTTAGTCCAAATTGTGTAATGTAACAGGACAATGGCCCAAACACAGCATGGAATCTACAACAGAACAGTCTTGATGTGTGGTCAATCATCCAGGTAAGGAAATCCCCCCCAAAATGAACAGAATCAACTTTTTGGGTACAAAAGAACAGCTCAAAAAGAAAATCAAGGAGTTGCAATGGTCCAAACTCCAGATGTCAACCTGAATAAAATGCTGTGGTTGGCCCTTTAGAGAGCTGCGCATAAACTAAAGTAAACCTCAGAGAACTAAACTGCATACGGTCCTGTGAAAACTGCACACGACTCTATTTGGGTTTTCAACTGCAGATGGATGACATATTAAAGAAAAACCCAACGTTTCCTTCTTTCCACTTCCACTCAAAAAGGTCAAGGATCACTGAAAATGTCATATCATTTTCAGTGGTTTTGATACTGATCCACAGCCATTTCATTTCTTCCGTGGTGCCTTTAGGGACCCACCCCACATTTCAAAATGTTTTAAGACTGAACTTTGCTTAGCTTAATGAGCAGAAGTTGGGATACATTCCTCTGGAAGAAATTTGTGAGGAATTTCTTGTGTTAGCCCACATCTGTGGCTCCAACTTTAGACTCGGCTATTTTGTGGTACGTTTTGGATCACGGAGTATTGGCATTGTTTCCCCCAAGTCCCGGGAATTTAACTGGTGCAATGAACATTCATTCAAAAGATAATCCCATATTTTTTGTGTAGGCCATAAATTACAAGTTACATTTTTTCTTTATGTACTATTCTCTGGCTGATTGAAGTGTTTCGTCATAGCGTAAAGGTGACCACTCAGAACAGCTTTGTATTGATTCAGAGTGACTCTTCCAGTATAAAATACAGGATTATGCTTAGTTAAGCCTTATTGTTACATTTGGATACCATGGAAAAAGACTGATGCTTTTTTAACCCCAACTTTGCTTGAAGGAGCTTGTATGGAGGAGTCAGCACCTCGTGTAACTGGAAAAGTAGAACCTCGGTATAACAAAGCTATCAGATCTTCTTCATAGGAGGCTTTTCGAAATAATTTGTCACCATTTTGTGCGTGCGTGCGTATGTGCTTCAGGCTCCAGTGGAGGCCTTCTTCTATGTTTCTAGTTGGTGCCCACTGCATTTTGGTCTTTGCTGTAGGTTGTGGCCACTCTGGAATTCTGGGTTCATCACCACTGCGTGTTTTGGTGTTGAGTCTGGTGATTTGGGTGGCCTTGGTGGGAGTGGAACCACCATACTGCCAGTTTCTAGTTCCTTATCTGTCCTTGTTTGAGTTTCTGGTATGTGGATCTCATTGTGTTGCATTTTGCCCTCTGTGATAGTAGATAGTTCAACCATCACGGTTGTCGGAGGCGTTGGCATTGGTTGACATTTCAGTTTGCTGCCTCTTTCACCTACCGGATTGTGACAACTGTCAACACTTTCCTACTTATATCCAGTTTTTCCAAATAGCCTCACACATTTTTTTCTCTTTTAGTACATGTCATTTGCTTAGTCTGTCATGTACTGTATGCTTTTCCCTGTTGCACTTGCAGGTGAAGATTTGGAGCACAGTGAGGAAACAGAACTGGTCCATGTGAGGCAAATCATCACGTTCTTTAAAGCAAAATTAAAAAGGAAACAAAAATAAAGGCACAGAGATGCAGTTACCATCAAATATGAGTTTATTTTTTTTTTTATAAATCATTCTTACAAAATTGGAATTTATTCTATTTAATCTGTGACCTCTATAAAAGTCTTCTCTTAATTACAAGGTAGGAGGGAGGAGAAGGCATCAGGACAGCTGGGCTTGACCAAGTCCTTACAGATCAACAGACACTACTGCTGATTGCTCGCGTAATACAGTCAATCACTGATAAATAATCAGAAACAGGAAGTGGTCATGCGTTGTCGCCTTAGCAACAGTGTCCGAACACAACAATGAAAATGGGGCTTCAAAACAAGAGAATGGAAACTGTGACTCATCCAGTGTATGAAGGCAGGGATATGAGTCCTCCGCACATGGTGCTATTGCTGCCCGTCTACTGGAAATAACAAGTCTGGGACAGACAGTGCTCAGCATGTCAGGAACTCGCATGTTGATAAAAAGGCACAAATCAAATCGAGAGCAGACCGGTTTCCAGCGCACACGCCAACCGCCTGGCACGTTTTGGGTAAACCTTCTTCCATCTGCGTTGAAGCTCAAGATGATAACTTGCATAATGTTTCCCTGATCAAATGACGGAGGCATTTTAAGGGGATACGAAGTTTAGTTGCTTTTTTTCTCCCGAGGGCCCCGACTCACATCCATCACACTCTGACTGAGCTCTGGAATTGAAAGACTGTAGATACACTTCAGTTTCTGTTTTGCGAGCTACGACTTGAGCCCCAAGCTGCGACAAAGACAATTTAAACCACTGTGTCACAGCCTCAGACGCATTACTGTAATGCATGAGGGGAAGATGTTGCGGCAGAATGTGAAAATGTTTCCATCTGGTGCAGGAGAGAGAGGGGTGGGGGGGCCCCAGCTGCTTATTATTTTCCACGTGTCAGTTGGCGTAGTCTTTATTGGGACTTTACAATTTCACTCCCGCAGAGAGCCAAGATGGAGCGGCCCAATCCAATTCTGGATCACTGGTGTATGCAATCTTTTCCAGGAGTTAAAACTCCACTACGGCGACTCTGGAAATGTTATCTCACTTGGGGAGCTCTGTATTAGAAAGAGTGTGATAGATGCTTCCCCTGGAAAACCGATGCAGAGTGCGACATAATACGAGCTGTATATCGGCATCTGTGTGGATTAATGTGCACAGCGTGTAGAAAATAAACTGAATAAATACCACTTACTCCCCTCAGCGATGCAGGATCGGTCTCAATGTTCTCGCCGCGTCATCTCAAATCGTACACAGTCTTGTTTTTTTTTTCCTTTTCAAAAAATAAATATGTCTATGTACAGTGCTGAGACCAGGGATTTGAAATAGGTGGTGGGATGGGTTTTTTTTAGTGTGTGTGGATTATTTGCAAAGCTGGGGAATGTGGTTGTCTTGAGACAATCAACAGCAGTAACTCTGACAATCAGACATAAAAGGCTTGATATGGATTGAAACAATATGATTCTTTTGAAGATGAAATAGAGGCCAGATGCAGACCGTGCGAGGAGCATGATTTTCCCAGAATCGCAAAGTATCGACGTTGTTACACTGACGACGAATCTCCCGGGAAACGACTCCAAGTTTCAAAGTTTCAGAGTACAAGCACAAACAGCGATATTCAAAACAGTGACATGATTGGGGCAGAAAAAAAAAAAACGAACAAAAAAACAAAACAACACAAGTTAGTCCTGCTGGGTTTGATATGACTCGCGGAAACAGAGCAGCTCTGCTATAGTAACATTTGGATATGGCACTTCAAAGCACGTCTGTCCCCTTTGTTGAAACAGCGAAGGCTTTACGATACATTTTACATCAACTCTTTGTCAAGCGAAAATAAAAACAAAGTGTGAAGAAAGAAAAAAAAATGAATCTAAAGCAGCCACTGAATGTGTGACACTGATGTTGACGATGTCAGTGACAGCTAACTGATTAACACGCTGAGCAGCTTTGGCTGAGACATTATGCTGAATGCCTGTCTGACAGAAAAGGCCACTAAAAGCATGCTGCTTTCATTCAAGTGTCTGCAAACTAAATGTGTGACTGGACCGCCTGTGCTCCCGCCTGCACGCTGCATGCAGACCTAATGACAGCAAATAGCAGCTCAGCTATGAGCCAGCCACCTTTATTTTTTCTTCCCCTGACAGCCTGTCTTTAAAAATGATCAATTAAAGGTCAAGATATCTAGTTATTTAAGCATTTTGATCTGGTTGTCCGATACCAATAAGATCATTTAAGGTGCAAAAAAGTGTCAGGCATAGAAAAGACACCGAGCGTGGCCACCGTCTCTCTCACACACACACTGATGCAGGTGGTGTGTGCCAAGGGGGAAAAAGCTGTCATCCCAAGGATCACATTAGACAGCAGGTCGTGTTTGCCGGTCACTGTTTTCGCAAACGCTATGCTCCATAATGTTCGGTGTTTCATCAACAGCGTGTCCCCTGGGAATAAAACAGCACTTCAAATGAAATACCTAATTGAAGCCTAAACGTATCTCTGCCTGACAAATGGAGGAGAAAACCTTTTGTCAATTTAATGGCTCCAAGGTCCTTGGATATGTCACGGGGGGGGGTGGGAAAAAAATAAAAATAAAAATGATCAGGGCGCCAGGAGAGACACATTAAAGTGGCGATTACAATATTTCAACACAAGAGCATCTGAAACGGATGTAGGCAACGTGATGTGCAATAAACAACTTTAAAGGCAGACCCTGATGTCAGAATGGCACTGATGCGCTCAGCGTTAAAAATCTGTCCTCTGAAACGATGCTGGTCACTAAAGACCCCTCCACAGTAAGGATGGTTGCTCAGAGACCATGCAGGAAGAGGGGTGGGAGGGAGAGAGAAGAGGGGGAGGAGAAAAAAAAAGTTTGGGTTAGAATGCAACGTTCTGCTCCATTTCATCCAGAAATGTTCATTTCGCTCATTCCAACGGAGGGAAAATGTACTCCGCTCGGGCTTATGGTTGGATGAGCCAACTTTTCAAGGGTCTGCACACACAACACACACACACACACATACACGGACAAGAGGGAGAGCAGAGAGTCTGAAGGGAGGAGGGAGGGGATAAAAGATGATGAAAGTAAGTGGGGAAAAAAGATGAGAAAAGTACAACTGCTGTGGCGAGTACGAGAGGAAAATGGGACATGAAATGAGATGTTTTCCTAACTTATATTCGTGATAACACGGGAGCAGATAGACCATTATAAAAGCCAGATCAACTCATAAAGGAACGAGCCAAGGGTAGGAGACGCGGGGTGTTTGTCAACTGCTGAGAATATTAGGAAGTAATGGCTGCTAAAAAAAAAAAGAACAGGTTGGACAATGTTTGTTTTTTAACTCGGCGCAAGAAAATATTCATGGGTTTACAAAGCAGGAGTTTGGTAATGAGTCCAGTATTATGTCCTGATCCAGAGTAGGGAAGGTTGCTTGGGACGACAGGTTGGGTTGCCAGGTTTGAGATCACAAACACCTTCCCGTCTTCTACCATCGCCCCGCGCGTGTGCCGAAAGAGCAGGACAGACGATGTCGTCCTCGTCCGTGTCATACAAAAAATATTCTATCCAAGAGTTCTTGTCGTCAGTAGTGCGTGCTGCGTGTTTGCACATGTGTGAAACACACAGTACTGTTTGGTAAGCCCGTCAGTTTGTGTACTCTCTTTGCTTTTTTCACACCCAAACGGCATACGCTCGTTTCCCGTTTATCCCTTTCCTCATCGAGTCTTTCCAGCAGCGGCGCTCTGGTCATTGGCAATGTGCTGAGTGGAAGACAGACCTGTGTCTCTCCCTGTCCATCCCCCTGTACTCTGATGACTCCTAATCTCCACAGAGTCTCTTTCCCCCTGCGTAGGGTCTCCCCCGAGGGGGCGGCGGTCTTGTCAGAGCCTCTCGATGTCCCTGTATTTCTTGCGGAGGATAGAGACCTGGTCCTTAAACAGGACAGGGTCCAGTCTCATCTGGGAATGGACCAGTGGCATGGCGCCAAACCAGCTGGCGAACTTGTTCATGCAGGTCTGCCGCTGGGCGAAGTGGTCTGGGTCAGCCCAGCGAGAAGCCCTTGAAGACTGGAGGGAATGGAGAAGAGGAGGAAAAACAAAAAGAAGAAAAGTTAGAGTTTTCAGTAACAGATGCAGATCCTGGGGGAAGATAAAAAAAAAAAAACTAATTACAAGTCGACTGTGTTTTGGAACAAAATCCAGTTTTGCAGATCTTGATCTATAAAATATCAGTGGTAGCATCTTAAAAGAGCCTCTGAGATGCTTTTCCGTAGTTTCTGTCATATGTGTCCTGTTACAGCAGTGAATAATTATATTAAACATGGCCAAATAATGAGCTCAGAATACGTTCGGGTAATCCCTGTGAGCCAAAAGCATAGACGTCAAACTCCTCTAAATCCTATAAATGTGGAATATTTTAACTGTAAATCATTCCAAGCAAGGATGAAAAGTATGGAAATGGCCGCAGTAGGACCCCTTTAAAACAATATTTTGCAAGTGTGCAAGAGTTTATGAGACCAAATCTATGATGTATGAGTGAGGCAGAGAAAGAAGGAACTACTTTACTTCTTAATTTTGCCACAGTTCATGTCATATGCATGAGCATGATCGAGGACGGCTGCATTTCTCTTATGTCTGCATTATTCCATTATAGTAAGCATGGCGGATAAAGCCGGGATTATAATCACATGTGGACATGCACATGTTATATGTATACTATGCAGCGCTTGAAATGATCGGACCCTTGAATTCCTCTTCTTAATGGTTGGCTGTAGCTCAGGAGGGAGAGCAGGTCATTGCTAATCGGGAAGTTTGTAGTTTAATCCCTGGCTGCTCCAGTCTGCTTCCCAAAGTGTCCTTGGGAAAGCCACTGAGTGTGAATGTTAGATTCACACTCAGTAGAAAAAAGTGAATGTGTGTCAACGGATGAATGAAACATGTTGTATAAAAGTGCTTCAAGTGCTCCAGTAGAATAGGAAAGCACAATATGTGAACCGGTCCATTTAGTAATGACACACTTTTTGTCACCGGTATCCAGGCGGACTCCTGTATTTTTACATAAACCCTCCTGATAATAACAGGAAATAACAATAATACATAATAATACAATGGATTGCATTTATATAGCACTTTTCGAGCGCTTTACAATTCCACTATTCATTCACTCTCACATTCACACACTGGTGGAGGCAGCTACAGTTGTAGCTACAGCTGCCCTGTATCTGCCCTGACTGACAGAAGCGAGGCTGCCATATCACGCCATCGGCCCCTCTGGATCATCCTCTGGACCCCATCAGTAATCGGTAGGTGAAGTGTCTTGCCCAAGGGCACAACGACTAAGACAGACAGAGCTGGGGATCAAACCGGCAACCTTCCGGTTACAAGATGAGCTTCCCACCCAAATTTTTTGATTGACCGCTAAAAGAGTAAAAAGCTAACTGGGGTAGCGTGGTCGGCCACCAGTCGGAAGGTTGGCGGGTCAGATCCTCATTTGCTGGGGTTTGAATATGTGAAGGTTAAGTATCTGTCCATAACTGACTAAATACTCCAATACTGAAACTCTTATGTTAAACTAGTTTCAATCCACTTTTCAGTCAGCGTATTCGGACCACGATCATTAACAAGCAGGGATTTTAGACGTACACTAAACAAAAAGAAGCTCTTTGACTCAATCATGGTCAAACTTTCGTTGTAGTAACAAGAGAAAGCCATCACTGAACGATGACTGATGTCAGCTTCTCTCAATAAATCGTCAGCTCCGTCATATTTGACAGGCCGGAGCCCGATGAGAAA